CAGTCACTGAGCCCTTTGTAACTTCCCCATCTGAATTACAGAATCTGTTCTATTCATTTTAATGTACTTGTAATCTGCATCCTTGGTCAGTAGGTGGTGCCATGAACCCATCTGTGGGTTAAGGCTTGCCTAAGTTCTGAGCAGCAATGGCAAATCTTTCATTTGTTGTGGTTTCCCGGGCGTTTTGTGGATGAGAAGAATGTGTGAGACTTTTAAGCAATATACATTGACTCTGAAAGCTATGCAACCAAAGCAGGAAGAAGAGGCAAAACAATCCAATATGCAGTTGGTCAAGAAATGTGTCTGGGGGGTGGGACAGGATCTGGCCAGTCCTTGGCAAGCCCCTAGCTGGCGTTCACACGGGGAAGATTAAACAAGGGCTATAGACGGGGGGGAAAGCAGCTATTAGACATATGGCATGAGTACCCAGGCAGGAGCCATTCTATCAAGGGGGGGATCTGGAGGCTGAGGGGAAGGGCAGCTTGCAACACCCAGGCTTTCTCAGTAGAGCAAGATGTCTCTCAGTGGTTAGGTCCTGCACTTCTTAGCACCAGACCCTGTTTTGTCCACATCATGTACCCCTGCCATTCCAGAATCTCCCACCAAAGACGTTTAGAATCTCCCCTCTCCAGGCCACCTGGGTGGCTCAGTCAGTCAAGCACCCGACTTCGGCTCAGGTCAGATCTCAGTTTGTGGGTTCGAGCCCCGCGTCGGGCTCTGTGCTGACAGCTAGCTCAGAGCCTGGAGCCTGTTTCAGATTCTGTGTCTCCCTCTCTCTCTGCCCCTCCTCCACTCATGCTCTGTCTCAAAAATAAATATATAAAATAAAAGAATCTCCCCTCTCCAGTTCCTTAGTTTAAGCACCCATGGCCCTTTCCTGGGGTACCTGGCACTCTTCCCAGGAGTATCTTCAGCTATGAAAGTCATGAAGCTGTCCAGGAGGTAACCAGGGAGTTCAATTCAAAACACAAGTAGTGCAACTCCACACTGTTACCAGATGAGTGGGGAGAACCATAGAAGAATTGAAGATCAATTCAAAATCTCTTACTCTATAGATGAGGAAAAGTGGCACATGGCAAATCACTGGCAGAAAGGGGGCCAGAACCCTGGGATTTGGCTTCAATCAAATCATCACTTTATTTCTATACCTATAATGCTGAAGGAAGTGAACTGATGCTAGTTGTGTGATCTACTAAACTTCTGATCAACCTTTTGGGGACACCTGGGTGGCTCAGTCCGTTAAGCGTCCGACTTCAGCTCAGGTCATGATCTCACAGTTTGTGAGTTTGAGCCCTGCATTGGGCTGTGTGCTGACAGTGCAGAGTCTGCTTGGGCTCATTCTCTCTCTGTCCCTCCCCCACTCGCTCGCTCTCTCTCTCTAAATAAATAATAAAACTTAAAAAAACAAAGAATCTTTCAGAGGCCTGTTTTAGATTTTTAAAAAACACTTGCTAATATCTTTCATGTCTAAGAGCATTGATATTATTTCTAGTCACTGAAAAGTACACAAAATCACGTTACAAATGATCTGGTTAGCTAGCTGCACATCTTAGCCAAAAAGCACATGTGAAAAAGGAAAACCTTGCTGTAAGAATTAAATTCTGACTCCAGCTCTCCTCCTAATTCTTAGGCTCTTCTTGCTTCCTTCCATGTGACTCATTTTCACTAGGACACTGATAAGAGCAGGAAGGACTGGTAAAGATCTGTGAGCACATAATTTTTTTCAACTTGTCTTTATAAGGTAGCTCTAAAGTGTGAACACGCAGAGGCAAGAGATAGGGTCTATTTCATTTTTTTAAAAATCTTTTTTATGTTTTATCTATTTCTGAGAGAGAGGAGAGAGAGAGAGAGACAGAACATGAGTGGGGGAGGGGCAGAGAGAGAGGGAGACACAGAATCTGAAACAGGCTCCAGGCTCTGAGCTGCCAGCACAGAACCCGACATGGGGCTCGAACCCGTGAACCGCGAGATCATGACCTGAGCTGAAGTCCGACCCTTAACCAACTGAGCCACCCAGGTGCCCCTCTATTGTGGTTTTAGATATTTAATTGGCTTTGCTGCTGAATCAGTAAGCAATACCAACAAAGAAGACCCAGGAGGATGACCGGTGCAGGAATCTAGAACAATATAAACCCCACCCTTCTGGGTCGCCCTCTCTGCTCAGTTCCTGGCTCCATCATCTATCTAGAAAATTCTTGGTGTCATGAATATGAATCTAGACAGTCTCCAGAATACAAACTTCTGAGTTTACAGACTCCTGATATCCTGGGATGAACCGATTTACATGATGAAAAGGATTATTACAGAGATGCTTGGAGGGGCTCATTTGGCTATGCATCTGACTCTAGATCTCGGCTCAGGTCATGATCTTACAGTTCATGGGATCGAGCCCCTCGTCAGGTTCCGGGCCGAGCATGAAGCCTGCTTGGGAATCTCTCCCTCTCTCTCTGCCCCTCCCCCACCCATGCCCCCTCTCTCAAAATAAATAAACTTAAAAAAAAGAAAATGGTCATTACAGAACATGACTGCAGGAACACTCTAAGGGACAGGACTTTGCAAAGATGGATGACACATTTTTATATAAATTATCTTTATTTCTGTGGCATACAAAAGGTATAAATATGATTTATGTAAAACCAATCATCTACACGCTCAAGCTGAAAGTACACGGGGCTGAAGGAGTAGATGTCTCAGAGCCGGACAGAGAGGAGGAAGCAGGATTAGATCCCTTAGTCCCATCAGGCTCCCTTTCCCCGGACACTGTCACGTATGCAAGCGGAGAGAAGTGAACAGCTTTCTGTTTTCCACAAGGGTTGACCGGACAGTCCGTGAGGACGGCGGGCTTCAGGGCACTTGTATGAATGAGGCACTTGGTAGGAAGCATGCCTGAGACGGAAACCAGCCACGTCAAAACAAAGCAGATAGGACTCGCCAGCGGGGGGATGAGCGGAGAGTTTTTCCTCTCCCATATCCCTCTCCTTCACATCACTATTTGATGTGGAGCAGGGAGCAACAGGAAGGGGGGACGAAGAGGAAGTCCACAGAAAGGATATACGCTGGGCCAGCAGCCGTGGCTCCCTTGCCCCACGCCGGCCAGCTGCTCAGCACACACCGGGAAGTGAACAGTGCTGAACGTGGATCTCACAAAGTTCCTGGCCTCTCCCAATTCAGGTGCATTCTGAGACTGGTAAACTGGTAGCAGGCGGAGGCATACGGTGTGTTGGGAGGTGCTAATAATCTGAAAGACTTGGCAAAACTCTTATGATCTGTGAGGAAAAGTGACAGGAGCATGATCTGTACCAATGAGGCAGGCTTTTTACGGAGCTGATAATGTTCAGGTTAAGAAGAGAGGCCCAAAGCTCCACCTAACAAGGTCCGAGGAGCTCAGAGTCAGCTAGCGGGTCCTCACCAAAGCCTCCCTGCCACCTCTCTGCACTCTGACAATGACAAGTTTCGTGATATAACGTCCCCTTACCTCTTACGTGGTCTACAGGTATGTGTGTCCCTCTATACTAACGGCTCCATACAATAGAGCTGTAGGAGGCACTCCTGGATTGGAAATGAAGGCAACTGTCAAATCACCCTCCATCCTAACTAGACTGAGTCACCTCTAGACTTCATGCTTTCAGCCCAAACTGAAATTAAGACAACTGCATACATTTCTCACATCCCTGATCACAAGTCCGGCCACGGCCACTTTGAGACTGCTGCCAGCCAACCTGCTCTGCGGGAAGAAAGAGGGTGACGGTGACATCAGTGCTTTCCAAGCCCCACGGGGAAAGTAAGCTAGCTCGACCAGTACCACACTTCCTCTGATAAAGACAGTGCACTGCCCATCCTGGTGAGCAGGGCTTCTTCCCGTAGAGATGGTACAGTGGCTGGCACTGGGTACTTTGGGTACATCAGATTCAAGCCACCTGTGTGGACTCAAAATGATCACTGATGGGGGTTTTCCCAGTTCTGAGGGTTAGGTGATGCTCTGGAAACCACCATCACCAAAACAAGGTAAAAGCAAAGCTTACTTAAAAAAAAAAAAAAGGTAAAATAAGAAATTTAAAAAAGCCCCGCGTTAGGCATAATGCTTACTTAAAAAAAATAAAATAAATTTTAAGGGGCACCTGGCTGGCTCAGTTGGTAGAGCATGTGACCTTTGATCTCAGGGTTGTGAGTTCGAGCCTCACGTTGGGCATAAAACATACTTAAAAAATAAAAAACTGAAAAATAAAAAACAAGGTAAAAGCTATGTGGATGTAGCCTTTTCGGATCCAATCTGTAGGACTGTGGCTTCCTAGAGATAGGCATTTCCCACTCTTATGATGTTACTACCACGGGCCCATTCTGGAAGATGGCCAGGTAACTTACAGAAATATACCTGGAGCAGGAGTTGGCAAACTACAGCCCACGGGCCAAATCTGGCCCACTGCCTGTTTTTGTAAATAAAGTTTCAGCGGAACACAGCCGCACTCCTCCTTTTACGAGCTGTCCATGGCTGTGTTTGCAATACAACAGCGGAGCTGAGCAGCTGGGAGAGCCTCTCTGGCCATTTGCAAAAACAGTTTGCAGACTGAAGACCAAAGGCAATTTAGGGAACTATCCCACTCAGGCAAGGTCTTCAAGAAAAAAGATCCAAGTGTTTAATCATTAGAACCTGATTCGAGCTGCACATTTCCAAACATAGGGAATCGGACTCTCGAGGGCACGGACTCTGTTGGGCCATAACCTCAGGAGCCACTAATGTGCTCTGAACAAGAACCTCTCTGTGCTTTGAACAATCTCTCACCCGTGTTCAGCTGTGATCCCTGACTAGGTCTGTGAAACCCAGAGAAGCTGGGGGCATGTGTACATATACACGTGTGTACACACGTGTACATATGTGCACACGCACACATGCAGATGCACATAGAGATACATACATACATTCAGGGATTACTCCCAAAGGGGCCGGCAGTCACTCTTCATGTCCTGGCGCAAAAGCAAAGGAGGCGATTGAAAGCTCTGAGTGACAAAGTTCAGCCCTTGCTGTTTCTCTCATTCGCAGGCCAGCTTGCTGTCGAAGCTGGAAAGCCCTATGGCAAAGGCCTGAAGTGCACACAGAGGGTAGTTGTAGTCCAGAGTGAACACATCGTCTGCCACACGTCCAAACTGCATGACTATGTAGTCAGCTAGGAAAAGAGAGAAATGAGGACGTTAGAAAATAGTGGGGCTGTACTGGAGAAAAGCCTACTAAAGATACAGCAAAGAATCCTTCAAATCGGTCCGTTAATCACCAGGTCTCTTTAAAATGGGAAACTTTGAGAAGGAAAAGAGGCATTGTCTAGAGTGCCTGCTAACTGTGAGCCAAGTCTCTATTACTATTCCTCTCAAATACAGAGAGCAGGAGACTACTCCTGACTAGCGTGCAATGATAAGAGAAGGGAATAGTACAAGCTTCGAGGACCAGAGTTTGAGTGAGGGTCATTTGCATCGGCTTCCCAAACAGTGGTTCAGAAATTCTACTCTAACGGGCACCTGGAAGGCTCAGTCGGTTAAGCATCTGACACTTGATTTCAGCTCAGGTCATGACCTCATGAGATCGAGCCCCACACAGGGATCCAAGCTGTCAGTGCACAGAGCCTGCTTGAGATTCTCTCACGCATGTGCTCTTAAAAATAAACATTTTTTTTTAAAAAAGAAGTTATACTTTGTTTTTAAAATATTTTTAATATTTAATATTTAATATCTGTCAGCACAGAGCCTGATGTGGGGCCCTAACCCACAAGCGGTGAGGTCATGATCTGAGCCAAAATCAGACGCCTATCTGACTGAGCCACCCAGGCGCCCCAGAAGTTTTACTTTAAAACTACACTTTAGTCTTTCCAAAGAAATAATTTCTTTCTTAAATAATTCTCCCTTGGGGGCCGCCTGGGTGGCTCAGGCGGTTGAGTGACCAACTTTGGCTCAGTCATGATCTTACGGTTTGTGAGAGAGCACGGAGCCCGCTTCAGATCCTCTGCCCCGCCCCCCCACCCCGCCCCTCCCCAGCTCATGCTCTCTCTCAAAAATAAGTAAATATTTAAAAAACTAATAGTAATAATTCTCCCCTGAGCAGAACTTCCTGTCAGTGATAGGAAGTGCTCCTACCCCTACCATGTAAGAACATCTTTCCTCCTGTTCCCACCCAGCCCTTCCTGTGGGCTCACGGTCATTCTCGTGAACTATCTGGAAGTTCTTCACAGATGCCTGCGTGACCCGGCCGTGGAAGTTCAGGACGTAGGACTGCGTGTCGTCGTTCCACACCGGAGCCTTGTTGTGTAGTTCGATCAAGTTTTCCATGGTTTTGTTCTGCCATTTGGAAAGCAAGCTCTCGTGGTCCTGTATGAAGAGAAAATCATCACTTTGTACTGAGAACCACAGGAAATCATTCACTCTCAGCTCTGTGAGGTAGAAGGCAGAGTAGGAGACTACTTCCTCCATTTCAGAAAAGGTACAACAGACACAGAAAAAGCCCAAAGTGAAGGCAGGTTTTAAAAATTGTGGTAGCTTATCCAGGATTTCTCCTGGCAGACCAAGCAGTTTCAAATCAACCACCTTAGCAATTCTGCTGCAACTGCCCTTGTGCTGAGGTTCTAGAATGATCGCTCTCCTAACGAATGGTATGAGCCATTCTCCAATTTGGGTTCTGTAGAATCAACACTTTTTTGTATTGATCTTGTCTGTACCGTATTCTTGTCTTTGAGACTCCTTTGTTGATTGACTATGTCCTTACTTACATTTCGTGGCCGAAATGGGATCCGTTCATGATTCATACTCATGCCTGGAATGATCACAGACATTTTCCTAGGACCTTTAAATCCAAGTACATTTGTTTCCTGGAAGACAGAATAAGGCAGGAATTTGAAAGCAGAAAGGAAAAACACAAGACTTTCGTGAGCAGGTAAAATGTCCAGTGATGATGTCAAAATGACTAAAATCTATTTTATTACTTCACTGTAGGTGAACAAAGAGACAGAGAATCACAAACAAGGAAGGTAATATTGTACCTCCTTTTAAGCCTAATTTGAATACTTGAATTTGAAACAGATTCTATTGGCTTGAAACTTTATTCTTTTTACTCTTAAGTGAAACTTGAGGCAGCTGTGAGCAAACTTGCCAACTTTGTCCTCATCTCAGGGGTGCCTGGGTGGCTCAGTCAGTTAAGGGTCTGACTCTTGATTTCAGCTCAGGTCATGATCTCACAGTCATGAGATCCAGCCCTATGTCGGGCTCTGCACTGACAGCGTGGAGCCTGCTTGGGGATCTTTCTCCCTCTCTCTCTGCCCCTCCCTCACTCATGAGCATGTACTCTCTCTCAAAATAAACAAATAAACTTTAAAAAAAACAACAACACAGTTTTTGGGGGGCACCTGCGTGGCTCAGTCAGTTAAGCATCCCACTCTTGGCTTCAGCTAAGGTCATGATATCACGGTTGTGAGTTCAGGCCCCGCAATGAGCTCTGGGCTAATAGCGCAGAGCCTGTTTGGGATTCTCTCCCTCCGCCCCAACCTACTTGTTCTCTCTCTCAAAATAAAGAAACCAAAAAATAATTTTTTGTCATCATCAATAAATATTCCCCAATGAGGACATGGCACTATATGATATACAGTGAGAAGTACAGCTTAAATTATGTAGGGAATGTACCAGGAAGTAAAAAATTCCAATGCCTATATCCAGATAAGGAATATAATCAGTGAGTGGTATTGTAATAGCCATGTGTCCAGGACAGATGGTAGCCACATTTGTTGTGAACACAGCATAATGTGTAATCATGTCAAATCACTAAGTTATACACCTGAAACTAATGTAACATTGTGTGTTATCTACATAAATAAAAAAATAATGATAACAATACTGTACTGCATATTTGAAAGTTGATAAGAGAGTAGATCTTAAAAGTTCTTATCATAAGAGAAACAGCTGTAACACGCATGTAACCATGCATGGTGATGGGTATTAACTAAACTTATTGCGATGATCATTCTGCAATATATACATATATATAAAATCATTACATTATACATCTGAAACTAACATGTAAATTACACCTCAATTTAAAAAACAATAAACCTAGGAGCGCCTGGGTGGCTCAGTCGGTTGAGTGTCCGACTCTTGATGTGGACTCAGGTCATGATCCCAGGATCGTGGGATCAATCCCTATGTCAGGCTTCACTCTGAGTGTAGAGCCTGCTTGGGATTCTCTCTCCCTCTCCCCAACTCCTCCACTTGAGCACATACTCTCTCTCTAAAATAAATAAAATTTAAAAAAAAATAAACTTAAAAAACTTTAAACGCCAGGTCAGGTGGATTATATATGAATAGAATAAGCACATTAAATAGGTAAATATATATGTTTTTGTTTGTATACCTATACATAGTTACATGTGCCTATGTACATATCTATGAAAGTTATGCATAGTTAAAATATGTAATGGAAAAATGAGGCTAGAAGAGAAAACACTATACATTATATAAAATATTAAGTTAACCAACATTTCATGGGAAATGGTGAGATTAATTCTAATTTATGAAAAGTTGCGACTTTGGGATCAAAGCAACAGGTTAAGTCAGGTTAATTGCTTCTTGTTTTCTATTACTTGACAACTTTGGGGTGCTTACCATGCACCAGGCCCTGTGCAGGTGGGGATGTAGCAGAGAATAAGAGTTTACACTGGTAGAGAAGGTTCGTGTGGAACAAGCAGTGACAAGTAGAATGTGTGAGTTACTGGAGGAAGCACAGGGAGCCATGGGGATGGACAGACGCAAAGGTTAATTCTATCGAATGGTAAGCAAAGACTTCTCCAATGGCATCAGTGGTTAGACAAAGGACAAGGAGGGGGAAAGGAAAGGCTCTTGGGTAAGTAAAGCTCACATGGTGCAGCGAGGGAATGACGGGGCTGTTATGGTTCCCAGTATGAGAACGGGACGGGGTCAGGGCCACTAGAGGAGTCTGGAGCAAAGCCTAAAGCATTAGGCCTTTATTCTGTATGCAGTGGGTAGTCACTAAAAGCTGTGAAGCAAGAGAACCACAGCATCTACTGGAGCTGTGTTTTAGAAAGATCTATCTGGCAGCAGGATAGAGTGAATTAGGGGAACACTGAAAGTAAAGAAACCAGTTTCAACTTTGTTGTAACCTCTGACCAGTGGGTAAGAGGTAATAAATGGACTGAGTTAATGGCATGAGGAAATCACTCAACTGACTGAGCCACCCAGGCACCTCACCAATGACATTAGGAAATCAAAGAGCAGATAAGGCAAGAAATGTTTTTTAAAAATTAAAAATAGAGGCGTCTGGGTGGCTCAGTTGGTTAAGCGTCCGACTTCAGTTCAGGTCATGATTTTGTGGTTCATGAGTTCGAGCCCCGCATCAGGCTCTGTGCCGACAGCTAGCTCAGAGCCTGGAGCCTCCTTCAAATTCTGTCTCCCTCGCTCTCTGCCCCTCCCCCACTCATGCTCTGTCTCTCTCTGTCAAAAATAAATAAACGTTAAAAATTAAAAAAGAATTAAAAATAACCAAACTTGGTAATTCATAAATAATTACAATGAATATACAGAGAAAATGATACCAGCAACAGGAAAGGGGGATCACAGAAACAGAAACAAGCATGGGAGGGAAGACTGTGAGTTCAGTGTTGGTCAGGTTTAAAGGGCCAGCAGGGCACCCAGAAGGTTAAGGAAAAGACTCCGGAAAAGAGTGAGTTACAAGACTGGCACGTACGTAGCAGACGGCTGCCAGCTCCTGCCGGGTATAGGCCTTCTCTACCAGGCCTTGGGCCTTGGCTGGGCTGACACCGTGGTCGTAAACTGTAAACTTGGTCCCCATGAGGTTGGATCTAGAATCAAGAGGCAAAAGTCGCCGTTAATAATCTATAGTTTTTCTCCGACACAAATACAAATCTAGGACAGGTGTGTAACAGAGTGGAAGCCCATTTGCCTGTTCTCCAAATGTTCATCACTACTTTTTCAAAGATCACTCATTCAATAAGGAAGGGACTTCGATTTTCTGTTAACTTCTACTTTTTTTTGAGATTACACATCAATACGTGCTCAACATAAAGAAGATATGGATTGCTTTGGGGGGCCTGCATGGCTCAGTCACTTGAGCGTCCGACTTCGGCTCAGGTCACGATCTCACAGTTCTCTGAGTTCGAGCCCTGCTTCAGGCTCTCTGCTGTCAGCTCAGAGCCGGCTTGGGATCTTTGTCCCCTCTCTCTCTGCCCCTCCCCTGCTCGACTCTCTCTCTCAAAAATGAATAAACATAAGGAAGGAAGGAAGGAAGGAAGGAAGGAAGGAAGGAAGGAAGGAAGGAAGGAAGGAAGGAAGGAAGGAAGGAAAGAAAAGAAAAGAAAAGAAAAGAAAAGAAAAGAAAAGAAAAGAAAAGAAAAGAAAAGAAAAGAAAAAAGAAAAGAAAAGAAGAGATATGGATTGTTCTATAACCACAGGAATAAAAGTATCAGAAAGAATAGATGAGTAAAACAAGGCTGCTCTCACCTCAGTTTGCCGATATAACTTTCCCCTTCACGAGATAAATCTGTTGGATCAGTGGAGATAAGGTAGTTGGATGTTTTGCTCTTTTTCCGCTTTCTACCTGCAAGAAGAAATATCTGGAAAAAGAAAAAAAATGTCAGCCAAAAATGTCAAAAGGACCACCACGGCTTGTTCTTTTTTTTTTTTTTAAGTTTATTTATTTATTTTTGAGAGAGGCAGAGACAGCGTGAGTGAGGGAGGAGCAGAGAGCGAGGGAGACAGAGGATTCCAAGCAGGTAGCTTGCTGTCAGCACTGAACATGATATGGGGCTCGAACTCATGAATAGTGAGATCATGACCTGGGCTGAAGTCAGACACTTAACCGACTGAGCCACCCAGGCGCCCTGTCCCATCCTTCCCATTCTTTACTGCAGCTGTTTCCTCATATTCCTTTTCACTTTTTTCAGTGATATCAATACTGTCCTATGTATGCATCCTTAAATCCCACTAGACTTGGACAATGACAGGGAAATAGGAGAATGGCAGTAGCTAAGGAAGGGACTTTGAAATCAAACAGTCTGGCTCTGCCTCGTATTAGTGTGACCTGAGGCGGGTATGTCACTCCCTATGTTGCAGTTACTCATCTAGAAGCAGGGATAAGAAATCCTATCTCTCCTATAATACAGGAGATACTACATACATGAAGCATTTAGCACATGCCTGCTACAGCATAAACACTTAATAAAGAGTGGTTATAATAACAATGATATAAATCATCATCTCATTCCTGTGCTCTTAAAATCATCCACTTAGACCTGGTAGCAAGACAAAATACACTGTTCATTAGCAAGTATTAAATTGCTTCCAATTTATATTTAAAGTAAATTAGAACTTCTAGAGGGAGACATAAGACGTTTCACTTGCATGCTGTTCTGTATTTCCACTAAGCTTGATCTTTCTTCTACAAGGTCATGTTCTACCCTAATTAAAATAAAAACTAAAGAGCACACAATAACACCCTCCCCCTGCCAAAAAATAGGATCGAGGTGCAAATAATTACATTCAAATATTCTCCTCCATTTTCTTATATTCTGGATAAAACTCTTTTTATTCGAGGTGGGATAGATTTTGCCTGTGAGACTATGGGCTCTTTGAAACTAGAACACAGCACCTAGGAGTTAAGAAGTACAGTCTTCTCCCAGATGACTTGGTCTGTTCCCAGTGCTGTTCCCCTATCCTGAGGCCCTTCAATAATCTATTCCCACAACATTCTTCCCCTCTATTTCAAGGTCTGTCTTAAGAATCAATTCTTAGGGTGCCCGGGGGGACCTTGTAGCTTGAGTGTCTGGCTCTTGGTTTGGGCTCAAGTCATCATCCTGGGGTGGTGGGATTGAGCCCATGTCAGGCTCTGTGCTGAGTGTGGAGTCTGCTTGGGATTCTCTCCCCCCTCCCTGCCCCGCTACCCCTTCTGCCCTTCTCCCCCACTCTCAGTCTCTCAAATAAATAAAAGAAAAAAAATTAAAAACGTTTTTTTAAATGTTTTATTTATTTTTTGAGAGAGTGTGAGTGGGGGAGGGACAGAAAGAGAGGGAGACAGAGGATCCGAAGCGGGCTCCATGCTGATAGGCTGACAGCAGCAAGCCCAATGCGGGACTCAAACCCATGAACTGTGAGATCAGGACATGAGCCAAAGTCGTTCGTTCAACCGACTAAGCCACGCAGGCACCCCTAAAAGAAAAAAAAATTTTAAGGAATCATTTCTCATACCTTCCGATTTTCATCTTTTTCCAAGTGCATATAGTAAGTGGGGAAGAGACCCCGATCCATTCCTTTTTTATCCCTGGTTATCCGACACTTTACTGTAACACCCCGAGGGGCAGGACTATATGCAAAGTCCTCCAAATTCTCCACATCTCCCAGCTGGTTGTCAGTTTGTTGGGCTGCAGTACCGGAAGCTCCTGTATCCTGAAAGAAGAGCCACACGTGAGCAATAGGAGGTTGGATCAGAAAACTTCTTATTCTCGTCAAGAAACAAGCAATGGACAAAATAATTTAGTGACTTGTCCCTGTCTCTAGTCTTCTGACAAAATAAAGGGAAACTCTGAGAAGGAAACAAGTACATGAATATTGGGAATAATGAAGGAGTCAAGGACTAAAGTGGGCTATAACTTCACAATAGCTGGCTTGAGGCACAAGAAATTAAGGGGGACACGAACTTTAAGGATAAATTTGACCTTAAATCTTTTGAAAGAGGCGCGCCTGGGTGGCTCAGTCCATTAGGTGTCTGACTTCGGCTCAGGTCATGATCTCGTGGTTCATAAGTTCAAACCCCGTATCAGGCTCTCCACTCTTAGCACGGAGCCCACTTCAAATCCTCTGTCCCGATGAATGGATCAAGAAGATGTGGTTTATCTATACCATGGAATACTACATGGCAATGAGAAACAATGAAATCTGGCCATGTGTAGCAACATGGATGGACCTTGAGGGTATTATGCTGAGCGAAATAAGTGAGGCAGAGAAGGACAAATATCATATGTTTGCACATATAGGAGGATTAGGAGGAACTTGACGGAGAAAGAAGGGGGAGAAGAAGGGGGGAAATGGTGGGGGAAAGGGAGAGAGGCAAACCATGAGAGACTCTTGAATGCTGACAAAAACTGAGGACTGATGGATGTGGGGGGGAGGGGGGGATGGGCATGGAGGAGGACACTTGTGGGGATGAGCACTGAGTGTTATGTGGAAACTAATTTGACAATAAACTATAAAAAAAAAACAAAAAACAAATCCTCTGTCCCTCCTCCTCTCTGAGCCTTTCCCACACGCGCCTGTGCATGTACTCTCTCTCTCTCAAAAATAAATAAACGTGTAAAAAAAACCTTTTGAAGGTACCCTCACTCAGTAATCCTGTTTAAATATTAGAGGTACATTTGGGAAATGGTTAAGTAAGTTCCAAAGGAAGACATTTCGGAACTACATACTGTGGTTGATTTCTGGCTGGCTGCAGAATTGGGTCTCTCTGCATCTGAATATGGTGAATTACATAATTTTTTTCCTTCTTCTTCACCATCAGTCTCCTCTTCATCAAAGTTCAAACTACCTGAGATACCTGGAAGAAAGGAAGAATTGTCAACACTGCCAACACTGGCTTAAAAAATAAATCTTCAAATCACAATAATTTTAATTTTCTTGCTTAAAACATCCCAGCTATTCTAACTTAAAACATAGCTACTTTATCCAAACTTTGACAGTTCTTTCTTCATATTCTTACTCAGGTCTATCCCTTGTTTTCCCTTTCCACTGTTGTCATGTATCTGATACAGAATTAATATCCAGAATCTGTAAAGCACTCCTACAACAACAACAACAAAACAAACAACCCAATTCAGAAATGGGTAAAAACATGAATCGACATTTCTTCAAAGAAGATATATTAGTGGCCAATAAGCACAGGAAAAGATGCTCAACAACACTAGTCCCTAGGGAAGTGCAAATCAAAATCACAATGAGATACTGCTTCATAAGCATTGGGATGTCTATTATCAAAAAAAAAAAACAAAAACAAAAACAAAAAACCAGAATATAAATATTGGTGAGGATGTGGAGAAATTGGAACCCCTGTGGAACCCTGCACCTTTCTGGTGGCAATTAAAATGGTGCAATCACTGCAAAACAATATGGTGGTTCCTAAAGTATCTATTTTTTTAAAACTATTTTTTTAATGTTTAGCTATTTTCTTTCTTTTTTTTTTTTGTTAAAGAGTGAAAGAGAGTGTGACTGTTGGGGGGGCGGTGGCGAGAGAGAGAGACAGAGAATCCCAAGCAGGCTCTGCACTGTCAGCACAGAGTCCAATGGGTAGCCCCAGCTCAAGAACTGTAAGATCATGACCTGAGCTAATATCAAGTGTGGGATGCTTAACCCACTGAGCCATCCAAACACTCCTAAAAATGTTTATTCATGGGGTGCCTAGGTGGCTCAGTTGGTTAAGCATCCGACTTCGGCTCAAGTCATGATCTCGAGGTTTGTGGGTTTGAACTCCATGTCAGGCTCTGTGCTGACAGCTAACTCAGAACCTGGAGCCTGTCTTTGGATTCTGTGTCTCCCTCTGTTTCTGTCCCTCTCCTGCTCACGCTGTCTCTCTTTCTCTCTCAAAAATAAATTAAAAAAATTTTTTAATTAAAAAAAATAAAAATAAAAATGTTTATTCATCTTATTATTTTTGAGGGGGGGGCAGGCACATGAGCCGGGGTTGGGGTAGAAAGAGAGGGAGGCAGAAAACCCCAAGCAGGCTCCACCCTGTCAGCACAGAGTCCAACATGGGGCTCGAACCCACAAACTGAAAGATCATGATCTGGGCCAAAATCAAAAGTTGGATGCTTAACCGACTGAGCCACCCAGGTGCCCCCTAAAATATTTAAATATAAAATTACCACATGATCCAGCAATTCCACTTCTGAGTATACCCAAAAGAATTGAAAGCACAGACTCAAACAATACAATACCTGTACACCAATGTTCACAGCAGCATTATTTACAATATCCAAAAGGTAGAAACAACCCAAATATCCATCTACTGATGAACAGATAAACTGTGGTATATACATGCAACGGAATATTATTCAGCTTTAAAAAGGAAGGGAATTCTGACACAGACGACAACATGGATGAACCCTGAAGACATTATGCTAAGTGAAATAAGCCAGTCAGTCACAAAAGGACAAATATTTTTCAAAAACAAGGACAAATATTTTATGATTTCACTTACAGTAGTCAAAATCATAGAGACAGAAAGTAGACTAGTGGTTACCTGGGACACAGGGCACAGAAGAATGGGGAGTTACTATTTAATGATATAGAGTTTTATTATGGGAAGATGAAAAAGTTCTGGAGATGCATTGGGGTGATAGTTGCACAACAATGTGAATGTACTTAATGTCACTAACCTGTACACTTAAAAATGGGTAAAATGAGGGGCACCTGTGTGGCTCAGTCGGTTAAGCGTCCGGCTTTGGCTCAGGTCATGATCTCACAGTCTATGGGATCGAGCCCTGCGTCAGGCTCTGTGCTGATAGCTCAGAGCCTGGAGCCTGCTTCATATTCTGTCTCCTTCTCTCTCTGCTCCTCCCCTGCTCACTCTCTGTCTCTGTCTCAAAATAAAATAAAGACATAAGAAAACTTTTTTAATGGGTAAAATGATAAATTTTGTTATGTGTATTTTACCACTGTTTTAAAAATTCAATGATCTGTTGTTCCATATATCAGTTACTTTTTTATTTTCCAGAATTTTGTTCATCTCTAGTCAACTAATTTGAGTTGGGAATGTTTGAAATGCCTCAGATTTAGAAAGCATCTTTTATAAAAAACTACAAACTATTTTCTCCTTTTATCCTCACATTTATATGAGATCAAAGAGGAGATACTGGTAGTCTTTCTTGTTTTGTTTCTTGTTTGTTTATAGATCATGTCTAAGGAGGAACACAGACATGAAATAAGGTGTGATGTGTGTTGTAAGAGAAGCATAGTACTCAAATTTACATGTGATAATTTCAGGCTCAGCAAGAATCATTTGCCCAAGAGAAAGAAGCAGAGCCAAGACTGAAACTAAATTCCCTTTTCTCTTTAGGAAAAAAGTTATCCCTCTTATCCAAGTTATTAATTTACAAGTAGACTTAAAAATAAGCAGTGTGGCCTTTTTCTCCAAACCTTTTCTGCTCACAATCAACCATCTCAGAGGACGGACAACTATGATCTATTTTTACACAGTTCGCATTATGACTTCCAGTAACATGTTGAATAAGTTGTGAGAGTGGACATCCTTATCTTGTTCCTGACCTTGAGAGAAAAGCTCTCAGTTTTTCCCCATTAAAGATGATGTTAGCTATGGGTTTTTCATATATAGTCTTTATTATGTTTAAGTATGTTCCCTCTAAACCTACTTTGTTGAGAATTTTATCATGTTGAGAGTTTTCTGCATCTATTGAAATGATCATGTATGGTTCTAATTTCTCTTATTGATGTGATGTGGACTGATTTGCAAATATTGAACCGCCCTGCAACCCAGGAATAAATTCCACATGGTTGTGGTGAATAATTTTTTAACGTGTTGTTGGATTCTGTTTGCTACTTTTTGTTGAGGATCTTTGTACCCATGTTCATCAGAGATACTGGATAGTAGTTTTCTTTTTTGGTGGTATCTTTATCTGGTTTTGGAATCAGGGTAATGCTGTTCTCATAGAATGAATGTGTAAGTTTTCCTTCCTCTTTTATTTTTTGGAACAGTTTGAGAAGAATAGGTATTAACTCTTCTTTAAGTGTTTGGTAGAATTCACTTCTGAAGTCATCTGGTCCTGGACTTTTGTTTGTTGGGAGTATTGTTTTGTTTTTTTACTGATTCTATTTATTTTCTGGTAAACAATCTGTTCAAATTTTCTATTTCTTCCTGTTTCAGTTTCGGTAGGTTATATGTTTCTAGGAATTTACCCATTTCGTCTACGCTGTCCAATTAGTTGGTATATACTTTTTCATAATATTCTAATTGTTTGTATTTCTGTGGGGTTGGTTGTTATTTCTCCTCTCATTTGTGATTTTATTTATTTGAATCCTTTCTCTTTTTTTCTTTTTTTTAAATTCCATGATGACATCTTTGATCTTTTTTTTAGGTGTTTTATTTATTTCTAGGAGAGAGAGAGAGACAGCATGAGCAGGGGAGGGTCAAAGAGAGAGAGGGAGTCACAGAGTCTGAAACAGGCTCCAGGCTCTGAGCTGGCAGTCAGCACAGAGCCCGACGCGGGGCCCGAACCCACCAACCGCGAGATCATGACCTAAGCGAAAGTCGGACGCTTAACCGACTAAGCCATCCAGGCGCCCCCTTTCTCTTTTTTTCTTGAGAAGTGTGGCTTGAGGTCTATCAATTTTACTGACTTTTCCAAAGAAAAGAAGGTCCACGCTGTCAGCACAAAGCTCCACACAGCACTCGATCTCATGAAAAGTGAGGTTATGACCTGGGCTGACATCAAGATTTAGATGCTTAACCTACTGAGTCACCCAGGCCCTATAGTCTTTGTTTTAAGGTATATTTTGTCTAAATAAGTATTGCTACTCTGGCTTTTCCGTTTGCATGATAAATGGTTCTCTATTCTCTCACTTCCAATCTGTAGGTGTCTTTAGGTCTAAAATGAGTCTCTTTAAATAGTTTACGAATGGGTCTTGTTTGTTTTTTTTTTAAATCAATTCTGTCACCCTGTCTTTTGATTGGAGTGTTTACCATTTATATTCAAAGTAATTATTGATAGACTTGTCTTTACTGTCATTTTATTACTTGCTGTGTGGTTGTTTCTGAAGATTTTCTCTGATTCTTGTCTTTCTCTCTTTCATGGTTTGCTGGAGTTTTTTTAGTAATGGATTGGATTTCTTTCTCTTTATTCTTTGCATATTTATTAGTAGTTTTTGATTTGTGGTTACTATTAGGTTTGCATATAACTTCTTCTGCATATAGCAGTCTATATAGTCTATGATGATCACTTCAGTTTGAACCCATTCTTTACTCCTCTCTTCCCCACATTCTAGGTATATTTTACATCCTTTTATTTTGTGAGTTCCTTGACTGATTTTTACAGAAAATTTCATTTTTACTGCCTTTAAGTGCTTCCTACCTTCATGTTGTCATTTTTGGTCTTTCCTTTCCATTCAAAGAGTGGTAATGAGCTCTTTTAGTTTTTGTTTTTCTGGGAAATTCTCTCTCCTATTCTGAATGATAGCCTTGCTGGATAGAGTATTCTTGACTGTAGGTTTTTCCCATTTAGCACTTTGAATACATCATGCCACTCTTTTCTGGCTTGGAAAGTTCCTGCTGAAAAATTCACTAAATATCCTTATGGGGTTTCCTTTGTATGTAACTGTTTTTTATCTCACGGCTTTTAATATGTTTTCTTTATCACTATATTTGCCATTTTAATCACAACATATCTTTTTGTGGATCTGCTTTTGTTGCGAGATCTCTGTGCCTCCTGAGTCTAGATATTGGTTTCCTTCCCCAGATTAGAGAAATTTTCAGCTATTATTTCTTCAAGTAAATTATCTGTCCCTTCTCCTCTTTCTTCTTTTCCTGGA